CAGTGGGGTGCCAGTCCGGGAAATCTGCTGCAATTAAATTAAAAAATCATATGGATATACCATTCAGAGCAAGTGATGGATGGCACGCAATTATAATAAAATAATTTACGATGAAGCTTCAAATGCACCAAAAGAAGAAATAGAACCTTTTAGACAAAAATTAGTGGAACATATCAGTAACGAAATGATATTATCATCTCAGATTTATAATGCTGACGAAACTGGTTTGTTAAGGCGTACTTTACCTGAAAGCACACAAGTCCCCAAATATGAAAAATACAATTCTAGAAAAAAAATCAGCAAAGACAGGGTATCGGCAGTGCTTTGTGCTAACGCCGATGGATCGCATAGATTGACTATTGTAATGGTTGGCAAATCTCGTAAACTGGGAGCTTTAAAATATATAATGCATCATCCGCCCGTTTCATATTGTAGCTCCAAGAAGGCATGGTTCACCTCGTTCTTTGACAAAAAAAAACAACATCGCTTATTCAACATATGGATCAGGATATACTTTTGGCAACCAAACGAATATATCGCAGATATTTTTAGACGAAGTAATGGTTGTATTGCTCGATGGAGATAATGCAGAAGATACAAGAGGGCAGCGCACCTTGCAAAACTTAAGGTCTTACAATTTAAAATCAACAATTTTTAGTTTTGTTGCAGCATGGGAGGAAGTGAGACAGCAAACATTAAAAAATGGTTGGAAGAATTTGTTTGATGACCAAGATGCAGACACAGATTTAGAAGGTATGGAAGTTACTGATTTCTGTAGGACAATACATAATAATACCGGAGAACATGCAGCTGAGGAAGATGTTTTACAATGGCTAGAAGTAGATGAAGGTGACTCTGGGTATAAAATCATGATTGAAAGTGAAATAGAAGATGAAGGTGACCCTGGGTATAACATCATGATTGAAAGTGAAATAGAAGATGAAGGTATAAACATAAAAAATGATGATGAAAGTAAAGTTAGCGAAAAAGACCAACACTGCCAAAAATGAAGTTATCAAAGTAAGATCGCATTTCGACGATCTAGTAACATTTATTGATTAGTCATCAAATAACGAAGTTCAACTGTAATTTACTCATTTTCGTAATTTTAGAGAGTTGATCATAAAACAACAGCAAACATCGAAAGTGCAAACGAAACTTGATTCGTTTTTCAAAACGGAATTACCGACAGCAAGCGCGTCAAAATCAACAGCAACGCCACTTCACGATGAACGTCCGAAGACAATTAAATATAATTTTGTTTGTATTTTGTATTTTTTTCTTCTTCTTCTTTGAGTGCCTCTCCTATCGGAGATTGGATATCATTATGGCGACTCTAATTTTATTAACTGCTGTTTTGAATAATTCGTTAGTGGTACAGCCAAACCACTCTCTTAAATTTCTCATCCAGGACATTCTTCTACGGCCTGGATTTCTGCGTCCTTGGATCCTTGCATTATATTTTGTAGGAACGTGTACTTTTGTCCTCTCATCAGGTGGCCTAAATATTCAAGTTTTCTCTTTTTTATATTCATAATAACTTCTGGATCGTTATTTCTTCTGCGTATTACCTCTTCATTTGTAATTTTATCCACCCAACTTATTTTTAGTATACAGCGGTAGCACTACATCTCAAAGCTTTCAAGATTTTTAATATTCCTTTGTTTAAGAGTCCATGCCTCAACACCGTAAAGCAAAGTTCTGAATACATGGCATTTTAACATTCTAGTTCGTAGATGAATACTAATATCACGATTACAAAATAATTTTTTCATTTTTATAAAGGTAAACCTGGCAATTTCAATACGTCTTTTTATCTCGTGATTTTGGTCACCTGTTTCATTAATGAGGGTTCTCAAATATTTGTATTCGGTTACTTTTTCAAGTTGGGTACCGTTTATTGTGATACTGGTGTCATGAATTGGATTCTTACTGAAGGTCATATATTTGGTTTTTTTGACGTTCATCCTTATGCCGTAGTTATTATATATCTCATTAATACTTTCAACTAGATGTTGTTGATCTTTCACTGTTCTTGCCATTATCACAGTATCGTCAGCATATCGAATGTTATTGATAACTTCTCCATTGACTATTATCCCTTCGTTTGCATGTGAGAGAGCTTCTTGACATATTTGTTCGCTGTAGATATTAAACAACAATACGTACAATACGTACTCCTCTACGTATTTCTATTTCGTCCGATGTTTGGTCTTCTACCTTTATATTAGCTCGCTGATTCCAGTACAGATTTAATATTATTTGCATGTCTCTGGTGTCGATGTTCTTACCTTCCAGGATTTCTTTGAGTTGATTGTGGCGTACTTTGTCAAAGGCCTTTTCAAAGTCTATAAAGCAGGCGCAGGCATGCACCTCTTGGTTAATATCTAGACATCTCTGTGTTAGGACATTTAAGGCAAAGAGAGCTTCTCTTGTACCTAATCCTTTTCTGAATCCCATCTGTGTATCGTTAATATCGATATCTAACTTTTGATAGATTCGGTTGTGGATGACTCTAAGAAATATTTTAAGCAGGTGACTTATCAAGGAGATTGTTCGATGATCTGAACATTGCATTGCCTTCGTTTTCTTCGGTAGGGTGACAAACGTAGACAGCAACCATTCTTGAGGTATTATACCAGTACTGTATATTGTATTGAATAGATCTAATATTATGGTTACGGATTTATCATTCAAAAGCTTCAACAGTTCTGTAGGAATTTCATAAGGTCCATTTGCTTTTCCATCTTTAGCGTTTCTTATTGCGTATTCTACTTCTTCTTTCAATATGTCTGGCCCAGTTGCATTGATTAGCTGAGTTAAGTTGTTTCTATCGTCTTCAAATAATTCATTCAGGTATTCTGTCCATCTTTTTATTCTATTCTCTAGATCTACAATAAGATTTTCATCTTTGTCTTTAAGTTTACTTATTTGGCATTTCTTTATGCTTCCTGTTATCTCTTTTACTTTTTTGTGTATATTGAACGCATCGTACTTTTTCTCATAGGTTTCCATTTCTTCACACTGTTCTTCAATCCACTTCTCTTTAGCTTCTTTTATTCTCTTTTTTATGTGTTTATTTATTTTTTTGTATTTGTCTGGGTAATACTTCATCTTTCTACTTTGTTCCATCAAGTCTAGTATATCTTGTGTCATCCACCCCTTATTTGTTGTTGTCTTTGTAAGATGTTTCTTTGCTGCTGTTTGTATAGCTGTATTTATGTACTTTGTATTTTTATATATATATATATATATATATATATATATTATATATATATATATATATATATATCTAAATACAGTCTACATACATATTTAAAAAAAAGTTTTGTGATTTATTTTAATCATTAGTCTTCGTAAGTGGGTATATTTATTTAAAAAACCCTTAAAATGGCTACATCAAAAAAACAAACGTTTTCGGACTAAACAGTCCATCATCAGGTTTAAAATCGCTAGGTTAAAATGCCTTAGCCACCAAAATACATGGGTAAAAACCCTTTAAATTACATATAGTTATAAAAGATTATACATCTTGATGTTAAAAAACTGTGATGTTCAGTATTAAATTAGATATGACTTCAGGTAACATACATTGCAAAAATTGAGTTCCAGAGCCGGGGAGAAAACCTCTACGCACGGAGAACAGCTGGAAACTGATTTTCCTTTTAATCAATCTCAACCAAAGATGACAAATCTATGATAAATATCCAAGGGACAGAGATAGAACACGTAGGAATAGACATATCTGGGTCAAAATGTCAAGGTAAGCAAAGAAACTCAGACTACCGAAATAAACAGACGTGTAAAAATGGAATAGGCACCATTCGGAAGACTCTCATACCTACTTAAAAATAAAAATATACCTCAAAAACTGCGAACCAAAGTGTTTAATTCCTGTATTCTACCTGTGCTTACATATAGAGCTCAAACCTGGACATTCACTAAAATAAACATGAAGAAGATCAGAAAAACTGGATGCGCTGGAGCGACGGTATTAAAAGAACTGCAGGACCAATATAGAAACGTCTTACATACAAGCAACAGAGATAAGTAGCGAGAATTGGGAGAAGCCTTTATTTGGCAATTCCAATAGAGATAGCTTTAAGATAATATCCATCCATCCTATGGGTCTTTAGCTAATTCGAGTTTTTAAACCTTTAATTGTGGCTTATTCCCATTCAGAACAATAATAATATAATAACATAAGATAATATAGTATAATATATATATATATATATATATATATATATATATATATATATATATATATATATATATATAGTATAATGTACTATAATTAAATATTTATTCGTCTTTGTCCATTACGGCAACAAGTAATTTCATTTTCATGTATGTCACTTCTATGCTATCTTTTTCCATGCTCATTATACGACCATCACTTTCGATTTCTTTATGATAGTCCCTTTATATATTCATCTCTCAGCTCTTCAGGTATCCTTGGAAGTACTTTGTTGACTGCGGCAAATGCAGCTGAAAAATAAAAATATATGAACACACGACCGTTGAACAGGATGAGGCAGCATGTCACACATTACGAGCGTCAATGGATTTACTAAGAAGATATTCCCTGGCCACCTCGTAGTCCAAGTCTCTACCTATGCGACAATTTTGTTTACGGGTATCTAAAGTCAAAAGTGCTACAAAGTAACCCCCAAGAAGAACTATCGAGACTTTGAAAGAACGGATACCCGAAGAAGTGGAAGCAATTCCTCAAGAAATATTAGTCAATGACCTAAACAGCTTTGTATCACGGAAGCAAGAATTTGTCCTACAAAATGGAGGCCACCTTTCCAATATCATCTTCAAAAACTGAATATTTCTTCACTTACACATTAATTTCCATCTTTAAAGTTTTTAAAAAGATCTTTTTTCAGTTTTTTTTTTGTTCGTTTGAAATCTTACCGTTTCATTAAATCACCTCGTTTAAGTTCGCATTTCTTATTTGAAATATTTGCAATTAAGGACTTGTAAAGTTTCGGTTAAAATATTTTGAAATAAGCAATATCATGTCGAATAATTTTACTTCTAGGTATCTTTAGATTCTTCTTCATGTGCTCTACCATATTAGGTGATATATCCGTTAGAACATATTCTTTATAATCCTTTGGCAATACTGGTAGCACTGAGTTGACTGAAGTATTTCCATATGCCGCACCAAACTCTAGAATCGTTTCATTATTTTTCCACTTCAACAGATGTTTGTATCTCTCCAATTTTTGTTTTGATAATATTTGAGTAACACAGTTCGCCTTTATCCACAACTCAGGAATCATTTTTTAACATAAATGAGAACAAAAACAATCACGACGGAATTCACCCAAATTTCCGACTTTATTGCAAAAGTTTTAATGTGTTTTTTATCTTAATTTAAACTAAATATTTAGTTTAAATATTTGGTCTAATATTTTTATCTCTACTTAATGACTACTCTCTTACGGGTTATGTAAATATATAAGCATCGCTATAACTCATTATCATTTATTATTGTTATTGTCACATTTTTCTTCCTTTTCTTTATGTAAAAACTGCAATGTGTAAAGTTCTCACGAATATATATATATATATTATATATATATATATATATATATATATATATATATATATATATATATATATGTATGTATATATATTATCATTCACGCAGATTCTAAAAAAATATATTATTGAAATTAAACAAAATTAAATAATGACTGCAATTAACGATTTTTAATTTATTTAAATGAAAACAGTTGTCCTGGAATGAAAACAACTTTCGGTTACTACCGAATTCCATGTCGTTGTCAATCTTGAAGTCTTGTACCAAATAAAGCACATGTTCTAATAATAACTGTGTCACATCCACCATGAATTAAATTTCCGCAATATTTATTGTTTGATTCTAAACGAAATTTTGAAAGGTGATATCGGAAAAGGATTAAGAGGTTAAATTGGAAGGAAGCTCTTCCGATTTAAATTTTGAAGTGTTGATCCTTGGTAATACTAAAATAAATTTGTCATTTAGTACTTTGCAAAAACTTAATATCGAATAATGCTACCAATAGATTTGAATATGCACGCATGTATGTTTCTTTAGATTTAGAATTAAAAAGGGTATAAAAACTTGTTCAAACAAAACGGCACAATGTAAGTACGAGGACAGATTAATAATAAACTAGCCTTTCATAGATGGCGCTACTTGATACCGAATTGGTTTCGGTATTGACATTTGCCATTCTTGACATGACGTCTGTCAAAATTTTAAGTTTTAAAAACAATTAGTTTGGTTTTTACAGTTGTCAAAAGCAAACAAATTTTGTGTTTTCGGAAAAATGGAAAAAGCCGAGTATCGTTCGATGATTAAGTTCCTTCACAAAAAGGGTTAAAACGAATGTGCAAATCAAAGCCGACCTGGACGAAGTTTATGGTGAGGTTGTACCTTCGTTAACAACAGTAAAATTTTGGAAAGCTGAGTTTTTTCGTGGTTGTACGAGTGTTTTCGATATTGAGCGTCCCGGGAGGTCAAATGAAGTCACCACGCCAGAAATAATCAATAAAGTCCATGACATGATTATGGCAGATCGTAGAATTAAGCTCCGTGAGTTAATAAAAGTCCTAAACAATTCCTACGAAAGGTCATTCACCATTCACCACCTTTTTAATTCACCAGTTAAGAATTTCTCATGGTACATTTTAATTTCTTTGAATTTTTTTAAGCCTACATATTTCAGAAAACATAGAATTACTATCATTTCAACATTTATTCGTGTTTGGTCATTACAACACCAATTAATTTATTATTTACATATGGTATTTTTTGCCCATTTCTTTCCATAAACAATATTTGACCATTACTTTCTATCTCTTTGTGGTAATCCCTTAAGTATTCATCCCTAAGTTCTTCGGGTATCCTTGGCAGTACGTTATTCACTGAGGTAAATACACCTAGAAGGCAATAAACATTATTTATTAAATAAAAGAAACCTGGAAACAATTTTTGATGAAATTGACAGTGTTTTGCCGACGTGTGGTATCAGAAAAGATAATATAAGATAGAAAAGGTGTAATATTACAAGAATATACCACACCTAATAAAATAAGCAAAGCATTTACAGTATTTCAAAATTTTTGTAGTTCTGGGGAATCTTTCTACGGAACTTGGCATCATCATGAAGGACATTCAAGTAACCCACTTGTTAAAAGTTGACAATTTGGTTCAATTAAGTTAGTAAAAAATAAAAATTTTTTCGTCATAATTGTATAGACTGGTTTGGCAGTTGAAATGTGTGGTATGCTTGTATGTGATGTCTTTATGGGATTTGTCGATTGTGCTTAAAATAATAACGAAATGATCTTACTTTGCTGAAACCTAAAGAACCTATATAGAACGTACTGAACCTATAGAAAACGCCTCATAGTATTTTAAATATATACTTACTTCTTCTGCTCTCCTCGCTGTCAAACCAGATCTTGTAATCCTTTTCGACATGGAAAATGTATGATTTGAACCCTGCAGAATCAATATCTTGTTTATAGGATTCTTCTGCGTTATCACTGTAGTAATGTGACGATAGCATATGTCCATATCTTGACCACTTTGGATACTTAAGCAGGTTGTGGAAAGCAGGATCCATCGGTGTGCGTTCTGGGAATGATACAAGTGCTTGACCTCCTGGCTTGAGCATTCTGTTAATGTTAATGAAACCTTGTCTGAAATAAAAATATAAACTAGATACGAATGTGTATTTAGGTACAGCAATAGAGGATAACGAAGAGATCATATTCGTTGCACAACTGCACAAGCACAACAAAGCTTATAAAATAATTTCCTCATCACATTCGTTTTTTTTTTTGTTAATCCAAAGTAAGTAAGACTAGGCTAATGAAGTGAAGGGATCATTGTAATACAACGAAAATTGTGATATAAACAAAAAAAATTATAGTACAACATGAGCACACCGAATTTCCTGTGCTTCTCTATATTTTCTGGAAGGTATATTGTTGCTTAAGTGACAAATATCTTTAATCATTCTATATATGAATAAAAACGGTAAAATAAGAAAGCTGGATTATTAACATTTGTGTTTCATTGTAACGAAAATGGCACTACCAGGAGAAATATGATATCTTTTATTGTAAAAATTTAGTAGAAAAAACCTAACCTTGGATTCGGCACCATGTGCATCACAAATAAACCAAAAATGTGATCAAACTTGTTTTTTAATTCATCTTGAAGGTTAACGGTAGCAATATCATGTTGAATGATCTTACTTCTGGGTATGTTTAGATTTTTCTTCATATATTCTACCATATTAGATGATACGTCAGTGAGAACATACTCTTTGTAATCCTTTGGTAAAGCTGGTAGCACTGACATGACTGAAGTTTTTCCATCTGCCGCACCAAACTCAAAGATACTTTCACTATTTTTCCATTTTAGTAGATGTTTATATTTCTCGAATGTATGCTGTGCTATTCTTTGACTAAAACAATTTCCCTTTGCCCATAACTCGGGAATCATTTTTTTTTAGATAACTGAACTGTTGTCTCGTCGAAGACTATTAAATTTTTAGCTTAAATAATACTACGTATATTTGTTTATTGTAATTCAGCTCGTTTTTATCAAAATTTATACAAACATTAGTGACAAAACATGAATTCTCTGACCGAAATCATTGATAAACTATTTTGAATGTAAATTATTATAATATATAAGTAATTACTCTTAAATCGACTCCTCCTACGTAGAATATCGGTCAGTGCATTCGGTCAACTTTATATTACGGCTGTAATAAGGTTCTCTCATTGTTTAATAATGTTTGTTCAGTGAGGAAATAACCAATATATTTGAAACTTTGCATATTAATTACGAAATAGGTGGGTAATAATCCTGTGTAGTACAATTAATATTATTTCTTGTTTTCGAGAAAAATCTCTTACGTTATTTTACGTTTCCCAACATAAAAAATAAATTATATTATGTAATACATACTATGAATTACGTTGGATACTATACAAAACTATTTGTCGCATGTCATAGATACTATATTCTTCTTTGTTAAAAATGGTAAATAATTGTTGTAAGTAGTAGATAATATATTCTACTCCGCTAAAATTTTAAATAATAATGTATAATCCGTTCACAAATTGTTGAGAGCACGAAATGTGCCTCAAAGTCATAAAAGGATCGTAAAATTTGTATCATCATAGGCGTTCCTGAGGTGTTTATTCATTAAAATTAATGCGTTTTACATTTATTTTTCTTTCCAAAATGTTTATCAATATTAATAATGTTTTAATACTAATATATTTAGCAAAAAATAATTAAAACTTTTACTGATAATGTTGGTTAACAATTAACAATTTTGTAAATAAGAATACCTTATCTCTTTGGATATTTCAATACTAATCTTCGCGTTTAATCACTTTACTAGAAAACCTGGAATTCATATCCGACTGTACTATTCGTCGCAAGATAATTAGGATGGAATTCCCCAGATTTTTAATAATATAATGGATATAAAGATGCCGGCTTTGGCCACGTGCCCCGTCTGTTTAGTTTATATTTGAAACTTAACTTGAAAGGGTGAAGTTATTACGAACGAAAACAATTTTTTTGTTTAGTACATTTTTAATCGCATGTAATTTACGGCTCGTCGGTGTTTCTGCGTCTACGGCAGTAATTAGCGTCTCGAATATTTCTTTTGTGAATTATATGCAGTGCCTAAGTGATTTTTTATTCCATATACCTACGAACATATACGTACCTTTCGCTCGTGCTCGTTTTGATAGATTGTTTGTGATGGCTTCATCATCAACATCATCAAGTTTTACACCGGTACTGTTGCATACAGTCAGTAAGTCTGTCTATTCACCAAGAAAGAAGATTATTGTCCTAAATTTTCACGATGCTCTGGTTTCTTAGAATCCCACAAACACTGTTCGCAACATAGTCGAAAGTTGTGCCAACATGACTGTCGTATTGAAATTGATGAATTTGCCAAAAATGGTATTCGAAGGAAAATTCATGGATTTTTTTCAAAAAAGGAATACCAAACCTAAGCAAAATTTTACAAGAAGTCAGAGACGACCCGGATGTACTTCATATCCGACGAACTAAATTGTGGCAAGTTTTAAAAGAATTAAATTTCCGGCGAAATTATCTAAGATCGATACGAAAATTCCGGGCTGAAGGAAGGCCAATCTTCTACCAGGATGAAACGTGGGTAAACTCAGGTCATACTCTAAAAAAATTTTGGTCAGATAAAAATATATATTAAGCTCCAGGCAAGCCTTTATGGAAGGTTGGTCTACTGTTATCTCCCCACCTTCTGGTAAAGGCAGCAGATTAATAATTTCTCACATTGGCAGTGAAAAAGGATTTGTTAAGCATGGTTTGTTGGAATTTCAGTCCAAAAGCACAAAAGACTATCACGATGAGATGAAAGCTGATGTTTTCGAAGAGTATTTTGAGCAGATGATTGAACACATACCACCAAATTCAATTATAGTATTAGATAATGCACCTTATCATTCACGACTAGTAGAAAGACTTCCAAGGACTGCGTGGAAGAAACAGGATATTCTTGACTGGCTGCGGAATAAGTATCTGCCTTACGAAGATGGAATGGTAAAAGCAGAACTTTTAAAAATTGCCCGGCAACACAAATCTAAGTTCAAGAAATACGTAGTTGACAAAATGGCGGAAAGGCGAAACATCACAGACCTTAGACTTCCACCCTACTGCTGCAAAATAAATCCAATTGAACTCATTTGGGCACAAATGAAAAATTATGTGGCTAGAAAAATACGTCATATAAAATACAAGATGTACGTGAATTGTTATACGAGTCTTTACAACATATTACAGAACAAAACTGGAAAGATGCAGTAAGACATGTAATAGAAGAAGAACAACAAATGTGGGATCTTGATAACATAATTGATGCAACCGTAGAGACACAACCGCTAAACATGTGGATGCGAAATGTGGCCCCTAAAAGACAGAACAGAGAAAATGCTTAGAGCAACAGAAATGGACTTCTGGCGCCGCTCGGCGGGAATCTCTAGACGCGACAGAATAACAAATGAGAGAGTCCGAGAAATCATAGGGGGTTACACCTAATATTATTGATGACATCAAAACGACAGAACTTAGATTGTACGGACACGTAAGGAGAATGCCGGAGAATAGAATACCAAGACAAATTCTTGAATGGCAACCAAGAAGTAGGCGAAGACCAGGAAGGCCTAGAAGAAGTTGGAAAGAAGGAGTTGATAAAGAAATCAGGGAATGAGAACTGTAGGTCGATCTATGGAACAATAGAATGAGATGGAGATTTGAAATCGGAAGACGTCGAAGAACGCTATAAACCGACATTATATATATATATATATATAATATATATATATATATATATATATATATATGTAAGGTGCTGGAAGGGGTTAGTCGCACAGTCTCGACATAGGCCCATCTCGCATGTTCCTAAAAAGCTGATTAACAGGACAAAAGTATTTACATTCTAAAATTCAACTAGATTAAGCTATACTCAAAAGACAGACCTTTGATGAAGAATGAATAATCCAAGTGACTCTCTTAGGTGTCTAACTACTACATTTGTAATTTGTTGACTTGGTAGGGATAGAATCTCAGATAGATAGTTTTTTTTTTATAGTTTGGTCAATACTTTGGATTTAATTAGTGTTACTCCAATGCAAGAACAAGACGAGACTTAGACTGTCTTGGTCTTGCACCAAGACACCTGTCTTGGTCTTGGTCTTGGTATTGCACTCCCGGTCTTAGTCTTGGCCTTGGTCTTGCAGTTACCCATTAGCATATTGCTATTTATAAACGTTAATTTAAATCTTAGAACAACGTAACAGAGGAAGTACATTTTAAGCTTGAATTAACATCGCCATAATAAAGACCAACCAAATTAGTAAATGTCTAAACAATTGACACAGCGTAGGGTTTGAAACCACGATCTAAGCGATCCGTGCCTATGCTCTAACTACCCCAGCTATCTACCATGCCCCACGGAAGTCAATCTGTTTCTTAATAATTGTTTGCATTTAATAAACTTACATGTGCTAAAACATGGTTAAAACACAAAAAAAAAACAAATTAATGACATAAACTTGACTGTATTTTAAAGAACATTATCTGCCTAGAAAGGGATTGATGGACTCTCCCCCTGGTAAGTTTCAAAAAATCACAAGTTACAGTTATCAAGGGCACAGATTCTATAGGTAATAAGATAACAAACTATAATCCACTTATTAAACCAACATAAATGTTGTTAACAATCTTCGCTCACCTTTTATATAAAAAACGTACTTGGAAAAATAAGGAATAGGTCAAAAAGCTATGATAATCAAAAGAAATTATGTTAAATTAAGGAAATATCTACTTAATAAATACATTAATTTGCCAAAATAAACTAGTAGGTACGTAATATAATATGTAATTGGTAATAATCTAATAAGTATTTATTTTAAATGCCTACTTTTCCAGCGATTATTAAAAAGCTTGTGGTATGTCCACCGAATGTTGGTTCTTCAGGAAGAAATATTTGTAACTCCTTTTTGTGAAAAGATACTAGATGCTTCCTTAAACCTGACGTGTTTTTGTTTTTCATTTTCATTTCAACCTTTCTATGTAGGCATCATTTACACAAAGCAATTTGGGATGCATGAATTATTTCGAAAAACTCATCAAATTTGCTTTTAGGTCTATCAGATCTATAATTTCAACGCTCACTACTCCGACTAGAACTATTTGAATCTTTGTCCCTCATGTCAAATTGTAAACTTGTCACTCCGGGAACAACAAGGATTAGATGAAAAACGATTATTATTATATTCGAATCAAATGAAAGCCCAATTGAGAATGAAGTTCAGTGATGTCGAAAAAGTAACTACTACTATAATAGTTACTTTATGTCCGTTACTATCCAATACCCTAAGTATCTAATAACAAACCGAGAATTATATATCGTTACTTCGTTATTTTAAATATTTCGGTATTTTGTTTACATGGTAGGCGACATTATCTGTTATTAATTTGTCTCATTACTTTTGAATACATATAAGCTGCACACTTTCAGCAAATTTTGTTTAACCGAATGATCTCATCGCAAACTCAGCAGAATATTGACTATCAAGCAACTGTTCCAAAATTTTATATAATGAACAACTGGTTTCATTATTTAATAATGCAACTTTTTGTCGGCATTTATGGCACCAACATTCGAGTAATCGCAAAACATATTATGTTATCTTTATACAAGGAATTTAAAAATTTCTTCAATTAATTGCCTAGCTGACAACACAGAAAATTCACAGTTTTAAATAATATACTTTCGTATATTACCATTAAAGATAAAGCCTCTAGTTTGGTGTAAATTTGTTTTTTTAAATAAAATTCTAATATTAGTGTAATAATAAATTTCTCTTCTTTTAATGAGTCAAAATAAAGATTTGTTTAATTTAATATTTTGCATCTGGTACACACAATGAAAAAACCTTACAAAGATTTTCAACAATCGTCTAGCCCACATATTTATAATGAAAACATGGGTTAGACTATTTTACAAATGTCTGTTTTCATATTATGTGACGAATGTGGTTTAGGATTGGACGAAATATACCGGAAAAACTATACTCGCTAAAACGACACTCAGTCCTAACTGCAAGACGCAAGAGTCTCGCAGGCTTAGTCTTGTTCTTGCTTTAATCTTGCAAGGTCAGTCTTGATATTGGTGTTGCTAAAATTAGGCGGTCTTGGTCTTGGTCTTGGTCTTGCAAAAACGTAAGAACAAGACCAAGACTGCAAGACCAAGACCGATTTTGGGCAACACTAGATTCAATCTTACGAATTATAATAAAACTTCAAGTTTTCTAATTAGATAAGTTTTTATACGAGATTTTAAAACTTTATTTTGTTATTTTAAAAAGACTGGAACATTTTGATACGGAACTGATAATCGTGCAATCAATACACATACGTAATTGATGGAAACGTATCTCATCATCACAGTCATTAACATCTTAGTAGATGTGTTGTGGTTCATAATTGGGCTTCAGCAGCTCGGACAGTTTGATTGATAATATTTCTCCACTGGTCGCGGTCATCAGTTATATGTATTGCCTCAGTATACTGTTTATTGAGAAGCTTTTTACTAATGTCCGCCCATCGCTGTGGAGATCTTCCGCGTTGGCGTTGAGTCTGAGGCCTTCCTTGGACCACCAACCGCTCCATTTTGTGATCACTTCGATGGATGTGGCCAAAGAACTTTAAAATTCTAGAGTAAACGGTACTGGAGAGACGCTTATCCGGTTTAATTTCATCCAGAACCGAGATATTTGTACGGCGAGCCGTCCATGGAATTCGAAGCAGGCGTCTCCATGTCCACATTTCAAAGGCGTCTATACGTCGTCGATCTGATTCTTTGACTGTCCATGTCTCGCATGCATAGTAAAATATGGAAAAGACCAGAGTTGAAACGAGTCTCTTTTTGTTTGTCATAGTAATGTGACGATCACGCCAGACCCCGTTTAGTTCACTCATTGCTGCTCTTGCTAGTTGAATGCGTCTTCTAATTTCGGATTCACAACTGCCTGTGTTGTTAACTAGAGCTCCAAGATATATCATAGATGAGACTATAGTTTCAGGAAACTCTTGTTGGCGATCAATAACCATGATTTTGGTTGTGTTGTAGTTAACCATGAGTCCAAATTTAGCACTTTCTACCTCGAGTTTTTTTAATAATTTAATAATTTCTTCTGGAATAGAGGCTAGAAGTGTAGTGTCGTCTGCGAAACGCAAGTTAGATATCTTAACACCACCTAGGAAACGTATCTACATATCGTTAATTTATTTTTAAAAGATCTTAGTTTCAATTTAGACAATTTTAATTAAAATACAGAAAAATTAACAAACTGTCAAATTGGACGTACCAGCTTTACACAATTTACGTTTTCGTTGCAAGAACGACTAACATTTTGACAAATAAAGTTGGTACTCTTTTTCCGTTTTCCTCATTAAACACAAGGGGATAACCTTGTCTTTCTGCTTCTTCTAAATAATATTTGATGTACTCATCCTTTTCTTCGTCGGGAATTTTTGGCAGGACTTTGTTTACAGCTATGTATAACTCTACAAAAAAATATATCAATTTAGTAGGTTCTTCATTTGAAACAATATTACTTTATTAATACAGATCTAAAAAAAATTTAAAATCCTCCTTGTAAAAACCTTAAATGAATTGATCGTATGTTTAAAAATATTTTAATATCTTTTAATTGAAGTTCATTGATTTTTTGATAATATCGTTTCGGTTGAAGGTCGCATTATTTACAATATTACATAATATAGTGATGGTTTAAGATTTAAAAGCAATAATAACTTGTTACGTTAATGTCAGTTTAATAATTCATTGCCATTATATCGATATTTTTTATGATTTCAGGTTCATATCAAAGCTCTTTATTATCGTTTTTCTGCTTATTCTTTTATGCAGCATAAGCTATATTGGGATATAGACTAGAATTATATAGGGATGTGAAACCTGGATCGTGAAAGTTAATATGATAAAGAAGTTAGTAGGAGCCAATGAGATTTAGTCTGATCGTAAAATTCTCAAAACATCATGGGTGTCACGTATTTCAAATATAAAAGTTTTAAACAGAATTGATAGGGGGTAAGGAAAATGAAAGAATCTGCTAAAAAAGTAAATACTTAACAAAAGCATATAGGCAAAGAAAGGAATTGGTAGCCAAAACCTTCGTCAATAAACTGGCCTATAGATCAATTGTTATTTGTTGCTCAAGATCGAGAAGTCTATCGGCTATGTACATAAGGGATATCAACGCGTAGAGCTGAGGCTGGCACTAAAAGAATATGATGAAAAAAGCGTCAATAGCTGTTCAAAGTATTAAAAAAAGTAAATAAATTATAATACACACTTACTTTTACAGGATTCTTCATCGTCAAATGTACATCCGACCGGCTCTTCTTCATGTATAACATAATTCTTAAAACCTGCTGCCTTAATATCCCTTTCGTACTCAAGTTTTGGATTTGGATGAGTATTATAATTTGATAAGAACGTGCCATATTTTCCCCATTTTGGATGTTTTTCAAGCGCTTCGAATGTTTTATGTATCGGCATACGTTCAAAAAACGTCAATAACGCTTGTCCACCTGGTTTCAGCATGCTATGGATATTTTCCATGGCTAACCTGAAAAAAATATTACATATCACATAATATTTATTATGACAGCACATAGCAACAAAATGTTGAAAGAATCAAATTAGTTACGATATAGTTACGAGTGTGGTTGAAAGTCATTTTTTTATTGTATATCAGACCGACCTTTTATTTACACAATTTATTTGTTGGCTTCTTTTTTCTTCCGATTGTGCTCTGACCACCTACTGTTCGTATTCTTGGATGCTTTACACACCCCTGTTCTCCTTAGCTGGTGAAAGTCTATCACACACACAAACGTCGCTACAGTTTCTCCGAAACACCTTCTGGATAAACACCTATACCACAGAAACACACTTTCTTACTAATCGAAAGGATTTTCACTTTACCAATTAGCACTACATATATGCTACACCTGTTTTCCTGACTACAGGATGTACATTTCGCTTTGAACTGCTACCACTCCTTTGCCTTGTTCCACAGATACCTCAAATACTATACACAATTTTTATTTACAAGCAACTCTGCTCACTTTTACTGCAGGCTATGGAGCAATGAAACAGTCAGCTTCTTCAAAACTTCAGAACACATCTGAAGCTCAAGATCGATTTTTAGTTGTAACTGCTGGAACACAACCTACAATTACCACATGTGAATAGACTACTAACTTCAATAGATTCGGCACATCAAGTAGCTATAGGTCAAAATATTGATAGTTGAAGACCACTTAGATGTACACACTATATTCCGAAGATAATCACACTACAACATTAGAGAGATGGGTAGAAACAAGACTAGGATGTTAGGAAAACTAGGACGTTTTAGACACGTCAGAAAGCCCAGATATACTGTGATGGTACAATAATGGTATGGGGTTGAATAGTTATGGGCGCGGGTCTAAATCGTATCGGGACAGCTCAACCTCACATCTCCATACCAAATTTCAACCTATTATTGCTCCAGTTGCATGTTGGCGAAACATTCACCTTATGTTATCAAACTAGGTGTCCAACGAAGACATTAATCAAGCTCAGCACAATGCTCAGACTTTAATCCTATTGAACATGCAGGGGTCATGCTTCAACAACGAATCACTACAAATAATGGAAACATTAACAGTGCATTTTGTCTCCGGAAGCAATTTAAAACGAAATGGAAAAGTAGTTACTTCTTTGGCTCTACACAGAGGTAAAACATACTATGTCCAGAGACAATTTTACCGACTTTTTAATAAACACCAAGTCCACTTCCAGTCAGAGGTAAACAACACCATATGTACCACACCTGGTCACTACAGCAACCTTCAAGGTAATAGTAAGGAAGTGGACGAAGATGATAATTTGTTTGGAGATGATAATTTGGATATTGATCTAACCTATGAACTTCTAAGTGGAGAAAGCTCAGAATCAGACGACAATGATGTGAGACGTATAGATAAACCAGCAAAAACAAAGTCAAAAGAGAAAACTATTAGTACTCCTACGACTAGTGGGGAAATAACAAAAAATCTTCTTAAGGACGATTTATCCTTAAGCAGTGATGCAGGCAATTGTTCCAATGAACATAATAAAATTATTTTAGAAGAAGAGAAAAGTGTCAAAAGAAAGGTACAAAATATTATTAAGTGCAAACAAAAAGGTTAAAAACGTATAGTAAATGAACAAAATTGAGTCTGTAATGTTCGCAAACGGAAAATAGCTGGTGGAAAAGAGTATCTCAGTAACAGGTGAAAACATGACTGCAAAAATGTTAAAGCCTCCTTGGATGTATCGCATGACATGCTCTAAAAGATTGACAAAATACGAAAGACAAAAAATCTTTTAACTCTTACTAGACTGAGACAAACGTTTCAGATGTTAAAAAGCAATTTATGTTCTTATGTGTCGAATCCAACCTACTCTTCGATCAAGAAAAAAGACCGAAACTCATCAGTGCTGCACTGCGGTCCTACTTGCTTTAAGCCTTCTACAATTACTCTATAGTGTTTATATTTAGGATAAAGATCAATAAAGAAATAATAACCCTTACCTGGGATTTTGCACCATATGCATCACAAACAACCCAAAAACATGGTCGAATCTGTTTCGCCAGCAGGTTTCTAAAGGTTTGGTAGAAATGTCCCTGTGCACTGCTTGTAACCTAGGAATATTAACATGCTGTTTGAAGTGGTCAAGCATTTCTTTAGAATTATCCATCGCCACGTACTCTTTGTAATCTTTTGGAAGAACAGGCAGCAAAAGTTGTTCCGAAACTTGTCCATCGCCGCATCCGAACTCCAAGATTGATTCGCTTGGCTTCCATTGTAATAAATGTTTATATTTATCAAGATGTATCTTCGTAAGCCTTACAGTAACGATATTGCCGACTAACCATAATTCTGGTATCATGTTTAAGCGATAATTATTTTTATCTAAATATTTCAAGTAGAATTGTTGCCTGTTTTATTTTTATGTGTGACTTTAATATACAGAGTGGGAAAATATATTTTATAATAAACACCAACAACCGTAAAATAATTTTTTCTAGCTTGTAAGAAAAAATTTTAAAGTTTTACAAGTGAAGGTTAATTGAAATTGTTATGCAAATTAAATCAGTTAGAAAATTAATAATTTTTTTATACGAAATGTTGGCATTATTACACGAATTAAAAAAATACAATGTCCTAAGACCCACCCTCAGAACCCGCTTGTTTCCAATCTCTCTCTTTGTCAACCATTTTCCATTCACTCCTGAATAAAGGTCTCTCCCAATTGCTTCCATCTTTCTCTATCTTGCGGAAATCTAATCAACTGTCTGCCTGCCACTGCTCTTATGTCATCTACCCATCTTTTTTGAGGTCTTCCCATGCTTCTTATTGTCGTCCTTGGTCTTTATTCTAGAATTCCCCGTGTCCACCTGTTGTCATTATATCGGGCTACGTGACCTGTTCAGCGCCATTTCATTTTTGTAATTTCTTCCACAATGTCCATAATCTTCGTTCTACGTCTTATCTCGGTGTTTCTAATCTTGTCTCTCAGTGAAATTCCAAGCATAATTCGTTCCATTGCTCTTTGCGTTGTTTCTAATTTCTTTAGCAGATCCTTTGGTAAGGGCTGTCTATAAGCCGTAGGTACAAACTGTTAGTATGCATAAGTTATACACCTTTTTCTTTAAGTTTACAGGAATAGAGGTGTTTTTCAAGACAAAACCCAAAGCCAAAGACAAAAGACTCTTGTCCGTTTTCAGCCCAAAGCGACAGATATATTATTTGTCGCAGATATATTATTTGTCGCCCTCTTGGTTTGTTCCAATTTTTACATTAAAATATCCCGTTATTATTACGAAGTGTGATTTTTCTTGGTTCCTTGCTGTTGTCAGATCCTCGTAAAATTATTTAGCTTTCTCGTCTGTTAAGTATTCTGTTGGTGCATATCCATGTATTATCTGTAAGCTGTATCTGCTGTTCAAAGCGATGACAAGATATATGACTCTGTTTGATACTGCACAGAACTTCGTTACTTTATAGGGAGCTCTTTTACTTATCAGGAACGCTACACCGCCTATGTGTTGATTTTCTACGAAGTTGTTCTGGTATAGCTGGTGACCAGATTTTAAGATTGTACATACTTCTCCTGGTAAGCGAGTTTTGCACAGTCCAATTATATCCCATTTGGTATTTGAGAGCTCTTGTTCTGGTTCGTCAAGGTGTTCTTGGGCCCTCATAGCTCTTATATTGTAAGTGGCTATACGAAGCAATAATGGGTAGTTTTTCTTATTAGATTCAGTCGAATATTTGCCTCCCCCAGAATCCATGAGGCTGACAGATTGCTCAGTGTGAGATTCTGAGTGTATAACTCTACTCACCTGGGGTAATTTCGTATTGATACTCGACATCTTCAACTTGGGTGGTTTTAGCATATTTAAAAGACCACGCTTGCCGAGCGAGTTGGTGAATGATTCTATACAATTCCTAAAATCGGGGGATTGCCACTTCCGCCATCCACGCTGTACCGAAGGTATTCTTCTCCGCTGTGGCTGTCGTTGTTTGCTTCATCCGTGACCCTGGATAAGGGACTTTTAGCAGATACTAGTTTTCCGAGTCAGGAAACCCCTGTTTCGAGAGTTCGTATGACATCTTGCTACATCTTTCCTGTCCTGCTGTATGGAGTGGAAGCGTGGACTCTAACTGAGACTATGCTTAAACGCTTGACAGCCTTTGAGATGTGGGTATACAGACGACTAATGAAAATAAGCTGGGTCGACAGAGTTAGAAATGAGGAGGTCCTTAGACGGCTGAGCCAAACAACACAACTGGTCAATATAATAAAGAAACGCAAGCTGGAATACTTCGGTCACATTATGAGACACCCTGAAAAATATGATCTTTTACATCTGATCGTTCAAGGAAAGATCCAAGGTAATCGTATTCCTGGTAGACGAAGAATATCATGGCTGAAAAATCTAAGGCAATGGTATGAAAAATCAATTACATCGTTATTTAGACCTGCTGTCAATAAAGTCACGATAGCGAATATGGTAGCCAACATGATATCCAACGATCGATAACGGTCATGGAACTAGAAGAAGAAGAAGGAAACCCCTGAAATCTGCGCAGGGCAGGGATTGATTTATTTTCCCTGATAAGACTATCCAGAGGAGTTCCTACCCGCTACCCTTGTTTCCAATGGTGAGCAATATCTTCTCTAATTCAAATTTCTTTTATTAGTTCGCTCATCAGCTTACATTAGTTCGTGTAGGTTTTATGCTCTGTATTTAAGCATCTCAGCTTTTCAAAAGGAATTTTCCTCTAAACTTTATTGTGTTTTAATTTCAGTACCACTTTTTTATCTAACGGTCCTCAGGTATTTACTTCTCTTAATGTGATTATAATTATTGTCACGGTAAGTTCTTTCAAGGGCTAAATAAAAAAATTGGTATATTAAGGAGAAATAAGAAATTTTGTGACATATGTTTTTTTTGTGTTACTTATATAAATCAAATACTAATAACACGTTAGTAACTGCACCTGCCTCAAAATAAATCCCACAGTGATAAAAACAGCCATTCATAACACTTTTTTTATTGACAAATGCCTAACTGTTCATATGCCACTGACCAATGTGACCAATATTTCAAACTCCGAAAACTATTATTTGAGGCTCGCTCGTTAATTACCCCTGAACACACGTTATTTCCATACCGCTATGTGGGTTTCAATTTATTGCCTCTTTCCTGGCTATGTAGGACAAATCGTTGAGGAATATGTTCCTCCACACCGCGAATATTTTGCCCACAAATTCTAAAACCATAAATCAGGCGGTTATAAATCAGCCATATTGTGGAAAGATAAATAGATACCAGGTTTTTAAAAAAGATCGATTGTTTACAGAAACTGTAACCTAAAATGATCGAAATGCCGAAGAAAATTACAACTAACTTTTAAAGTCAACATGTATCGGATAAACAACGATTTCGATGATACTAACAAGAAGTTATTAGAAGTAGATTTGACCTTTTCCAGAAGATACAGTATCAAATTGAAACAAACTGAACAGTTGACTGAAGTATATTTAACAAATTACAACACGTACTTAACTACCTTGAGGTCGGTTCTAGTTGATTTATTATTAGTATATCAATAAAAACAAACAACCTAAAGAACAAGCAGGATTCTGACCTGGACGATCCACCATAGATAATTTATTTGCTTTGAAAATCGCCGTAGTGGAAAGAGTACAGAGAAATAGAGAAACTCATAGAGCCTTAATTTACTTGAAAACCGCATACGATAGCGTAACGACTACGAAGTGTCACTTCCTCTAAGGACTAGCAACCCCAGTGGAGTCTGACGTCTCTGCATGTCATCAATTACTATTGTAACTTAAGCATCCTAATTTTAAATAATTAATATTGTAACTCAAATTTAATCATATAACATTTAAATAGTTTTTACCCATGTATTTAGTGGCTTTCATAATGTAGATCCAAATAACAGTGATGATAGGATAGTTATTCCAATAGCGTTCTCTGATGTAGCCCGATAAGGTTTTTATTATTATACCTTTTATAAAGAAATTTTTAGGAAAGTCCAAAAGTGCAGTTATTTCTAAGAAGTCTGTATGCTCAACAAAAGAAGCTATACTACCAGATTAACATGAGAGATCGCTAATTTTTTGATTTGTGCATTCTAAAATTATGTTTATATTATCATCAAATAAAACGTTGCACACATTATACGGCGTTTTTTTGGTAGCCTTTTTCAGCAGACTTTAAACCAAGTCGATGCATTACAATGTTATGGCTTAGTCTTTTACCAGTAGTTAATAATTTTTTTGACCATTTGCGCATATGTTTGTTGTAGACGTACCTTAATGATTCTTGGAAATCTTGGAAACTTTCACTTTACTCATCATGACTGCTTACCACTGAAATACTGCTGATGTCTCGCATGATCACTGTTTAAGGATCATGAATCCTCTTATTTTCTGTTATATGGTTTTCACGCACAATATCATATTCTAGTTGACTGTTATGATCACTGTCTGTAGTTGGGGTCATTAATATCAACGTCATCATTGTTGAAAAAAATGCTTTTGATTGTGCACTTTTATATCATTTTTTATCAATAACAATGAATCCATGATCGTAAAAAAATGTTTGGTATATGGTATTGTCGGATCAGAATGGACCCCAGACAGTACAAGTACTTTTAATCGACTGATATTTAAGAGCTTGACGTATGTGCAGCTACAATAAATTCGCGTTCCCGCAGTACAACAGAAAAAACTGACGGAATGCAGTCCCTGCATCTTTTTCTAATTTGCCAGGTTTCTGGACCGGGGTTCAAATGAGTAGTCATGCGCAATATAAGGTGTTGCTTCCTGATAACACCCGTAGCCACTCCTACTCAATTCCTATCCTCACCTCCAAGAAGTGTGACTTAATCACACAGATGGACCTTCGCAAACCTGAGCAACCCTACCGGAGATTAGGTAACCAACCCCAATGGAAAGCAGGGTCAGAGCTGACGAGGAAGGGAGAAATGGTCCTGCGAAAATGGGGTTAGGCTTAGGGCTAACAAGTCTATCCTAGAAAACACACATGTTACGAATGTTCAAGGAAAGAAATCCGGATTGATCAAACGACGAAGACTGCGTGAGAAAAAGGTACGTGATTTAAGAATTGCGACATGGAACATCCGATTTCTGTACAGATTGGGAGCCCTCCAAAATCTGCTCCGTGAATTGAATAAATATGACATAGATTTAACAGCTCTGCAGGAAATGAGATGGACCGGGAGTGGCACAATTGACAAAAGACACTACATTACATTCTATAGTTGCAACGCTAAAGACCACACACTAGGTACTGTCTTCATTGTAAATAAAAAGGTTAAACACCTCGTAAGAGACTTTCGTTCTATGAACTCTAGAACG